GAACCATCACCGGCAGTAGCCGCTCAAGCCATATGTGGTAGTCATAACTCTTGAGCCTGTTGATTTGCAAAGTAGCTAAGTTCACTCCTCTGTCACTTGTCTGCTGAAATTAAATCAATCTTGGAAGTGCATATCCAGTACATTAGTTAATTTCAGCCGTAGCAAGACAAGGCTGTAGCTAAAAGAAACTAACAGTCAAGCATGACCCAGGGAGGGTTCATGCTGATACTAGTCAAATTGTACAACAATGACAGCTAAATAGCTGATTGAACTAACATGCTGATACTAGTCAAATTGGACAACAATGACAGCTAAATAACTGATTGAACTAACATGCTGATACTAGTCAACAATGACAGCTAAAAGAAACTAAAAGAAATACAATAGTAAACCGAACCCAATTAAGTTTGAATCTTTTGCTTCTCTAAAACAAAAGCTTCTGTGATTTTGTCTCAAGAAGTGAGATTCGGTACCAAGGCCATGAATATAGGTTTGCCACTTATCCACGAACAGTATATCCCACGATGATAATTGGACGTGTAATAACAGTCTACCCACTGCCTTGGTTCACGAATAGTATATCCCACGATGATAAAGCACCTAATAGTCCTATAACGAAATCAAGCAATGTAACCCTTCTTGGTTCACTAAATCTTAAATTTGGAAGCATTCTTGTATATGACTTCGTTCTATTTTGCATTAATAAATAGCAAAGACAAGAACCCTTATTGAGCTTTTGTGGTCGGCAGAGGATTCGTCTGCCACGGCGCCGCGACAACACCACGGGCTGCCGGCGATACGCGAGGAGGCCTGCGGCAGCACGGGAGGCCAGCAGGGTCGCGGGAGGCTGGAGACGACGCCCGCAGCGGCGCGGGAGGCCAGCGGGGTCGCGGGGACGGCGCGCGGGAGGACGGCGGCGAGGGAGGCCGGCGGGGTCGCGGGGACAGCGCGCAGAAGGCCGGCGGGGTCGCGGGGACCTGCTGTGTGCCAAGTGCAATAGGTTTGTCGAATGTTTCCACGGCGGCACTTGGCACACAGCAGGTTTGCCGAGTGCCCGATGGAATGAACTCGGCAAACCCTCAGGCACTTGGCATACCTACTGTTTCCGGTAGTGCGTGTGGTCAATGTCGTATATTGGAGACAGTCAAAGCAAAATGGATACATGTGTTCTGGATCAAAGGCGGGAGACAAAAATAATTATATAATTAAAGAACTTATAGAACCCCTAGTTGACCACACAGTATGCAGAAAAAATACTCCTATTTGTACCGTATATTGGAAAAAAACAAACATACCTCTTGTGAAATTCATCTTCAAATTCCGTGCCCCGATTGATTGCCCACCAGTGCCATCCCCCAAAGGATCTCCAGTCTGAATCATGAATCCTTTAATCACACGGTGAAATATAAGATTGTCATATAACCGTTCCGGCAATGGGTAGTGAAGTTTTCCACAGTTTTTGGACAGTCTTCTGGATATAGTCTCAAGTGAGTCACCCATAGAAGTATGTAGCACCTGAAATACGATGATGGATTTGTTAAGAAATTTCAGCACCGGAAGTGGACGGCACATGAAATGAGCATGTACTGGACTGCCAGGGCAAAACTTCAGGATGCCAAAAAATATCCAATTATGCCAGTGGCGTTTTCATCTAAAGTAACTTACTATACCACCTAGAAATGCAATAACCATTATCAGAATATAAACTAACATGAGAAAATTTGGTCATGACTTTCAATGAGCAAGTTAGTACACGAACACAAGGCAAGTGACTAACGCTCTGATCGCTTGAGCTTATTAGCCAGAATAAGCCCTACTTTTCAGTTATGGAACAATATTTTTCTCTCACAACAAATCAGTCGCAGCCGCTGCCACGAATAAGTCCTGCCGAACAGAGCCTCAGTTAGTACGGGAGCATGTTGATACACTGAATATTGGAGTACAAGAACGAAAGCAAGTTGTAAACATGAGTAAGAGACAGATTACTAAAGCTACTGCAAATAAAGTGCGGGTGTACCTCCTGCTTCTTCTTGAACTCCTCCCAGGTGACGGTGTGCGTCTTGTTAAGGCTGGCCAGGCGCGCCGCATGCCACTCTAGAGAACTAAAAAATCCCAGACTCAAAGAAATGGGGAAAAGAAAAGGGAAGCAAAGGGAGCAGAGAGCGTACGGCCTCTTCGGAGATGATGCAGAGATCTCCACGGGAGTACTCACCGTGGCGGGCAAACTTGAGCACGGCATGGCCGCACCGGCCACCCGAACCGCCGGGGCCGGAGCGCCGCCGGGGGCCGAAGCAGGGAGGAGAGAGCGCCGTCGCCGTGAGGACCGCGCTCGTCTGCTCGGTTGCCGACCACGGGGAAGACAGAGATGCCGGCCGCGGGGAAGACGGAGATGGCATTGCGATACCAGCCACGACGTCCTCAACTGTGAACATTTTCCCCATTGTGATACGGACGCAGCAAACCCTTCTGGTCATCTGCTGCTTGCGTCTAGAACAAGAGAACAAACCTGTAGCCTGCTGAGGCGACGGCGGCGGCAAAGGATTCAGGTATCCCCGGGATCCGTGCACTCCACCGCTCCCCTCTTGCAGCACGGCGCGCCAGAGGCGGTAGGCGCCGTGTAGGCGGTTTGCAGGCCCCGGCGGTTTGCACTCCAACTTTTTTGTTTTTTTGGGTGAGTTTGGGATTCAATCCTGGGTCTCGTGAGGTGCGTCGCCGTGTAGGCGGTGTGCAGGCCATGTGGGGGCGTGCGTTGAAGCCCACAGGCCTGGGAGATGGGAACAATGAGGAGGTTGACACACGCGATCTTAACCGTTAGATTTGAGTAAGGAGGAAGAAAGCTTACAAGTAAATCTAGACGATTTGTTTTAAATGTGTTGTTTTTCTGGGTACAATTTTCTAGGTGGATGATGAGGGACTTCTCAGTGGGGGTCGTTTTTTGGTGTGGGTTTAGCAATGAAAATGATGATGAATTAGTAGGGTAGATACGTTCCTTGGTCTTTGAACCAAAGGTGGTTACGCCTTGGGACGGAGGGCGTATATATGAAAATAAGAGTTGAGTTACAGCGAAACCAGGAAGCAAAGAAGACCAAGTAAATTACAATTGAGTCTCTATCCATTGACTAATATGCAATAAGTATTGGCTCTTGGTCGAGGGATAACCAAAGCGATTTCTTTCTGAAAGATCATCCTATTACAATCCTAGGAAAAGAGGTTGTCATTTCTGAACATCCAAATGCCCCAACCCATAAGCCTGGATTGACGCTGATATCTAATGACACACACGTTTATGAAGATATCTAAAACAGATTAATATTCTAGGATTATATAGTGTCTCATATCTTATATGATATTTATCATGGAAGTAGTAGTTAGAATAAAAGAATCATGATACATCACAGATCAAACTAGCCGTCTTTTTTATTTGAAAAGGCGACAAAGAAAATGAACAACTACAAACACTCTTGCCATATAAGGTTTTGAAGACCGTAAAATGTACTTGTTTCTAGCAATAAGATATAGCTCCAATTGAAGGAACATCCGGTAGGCAAAACCCCCCAAAGAATCCTTTAGTGCAAAAATAGAGATTCGAATAAACCAGTGAAATCCTTAAAAGAAAAGAAATTGATAAACAAATAAATAAAGTGAATAAGAAAACATGTGTAGTTAAAGATGTTAACTGGGTTCTTTTAGGGTGAGATGTTAGTTGGGTGGAGGTGAATATCTGGACTAGGCCTACGAGATGATGGCTTGTAGCGTAGGCAGAAGGAAAATGTCCACATTACCTCTCTCAACTTTTGCGAAAGTCCGGGTAAACCATCTCCCTGAACTTTTAAAACCGTTCATTTTAACTCCCTGACCGGTTATAAGCGGTTTTCAAAGACGATTTTATCTTTTTCTTTTTTATTTATTTTGGCTGAATCTTTGAAAAATCATAGTAAATCACGAAAGAATCATAAAATTTAAAATCCAATTTTGTTGTAAAACATGAGTATATCTACACAGTGAACATGTAATATGGTATGATTTAGTACAAAGTTTTTGTTGTAGATTTAAATCTATGCTTTTCTATAATTAATTGATAGCTGCAGTTTTTATGGTAAAATTTTTATGATGGGCTAATTATTATATGCCTGAACTGTAGTAAAAAGATATGTCATATGCTCGTGGCAGCCTAGCCCGTCGTGCAGAAGGTGCCTGGGCCAGTCCCCTTGCGTGATTACAAGTTGGCCAATTAAGCCCGCTAACTAATAATAATAATAATAATAATAATAATAATAGAACTGTGGATGTCATGCACATACTATCGTCGGAAGCTGGAGTTGGCAGCTGGCAGGCCACCTACACCACCACCGTCCACACCCAATCCTTCTCCTTGCAAAAAGTCTCAGGCAGTTGGAGTGTGTCTACCTCAGCTGCCCAGCTGCCCTGCTTCCTCTGCTCTGCCTCTGCTACACGCCTTCCTTCCTTGCTACTAGTACAGATCGATCGGAGTGATTCGTGTCCTTCCTCCTCACGCTCTCCATCCCGGCCCATAAAGCCCGCGGGCGCCGGCGACGAGGAGGACGTGCAGGTGCTGGCAGTGGCGGAGCCAGGATTTATACTCAGGGGGGCCGGCCGTCAGAAATTATATTTAGGGGGGCCGGTTCGGTCTTTTTCATTGCAATAATTTTATTATCTAGTTGTGTTTTGTATAATTATATTATCTAGAAAATATTAATAGATATATATGACAAGAATTTTATATAATCTTCCTCTTAATATAAATAAAAAATATTAAGTCATACTACTATTTTTTGTTGTTGTGAAACATTGGGGGGGCCATGGCCCCTGCCAGCCCCCCCTTGGCTCCGCAGTGGGTGTTGGTGGAGCGGCCCTACTCCTTCTCCCACTCCGATCACCACCAGCAGCAGGTGATCAGGGCACGGCCCTACTACCGGCGCTGGTCGCCGTGGCTCGTCTCCGCCGCCACCGTGGCCTGCGTCGCCATCTTCCTCGTCACCATGTACGTCAACGACTGCCCCAGCCACAACTCCAACTGCACCGCCGGATTCCTCGGCCGCTTCGCCTTCCAGCCGCGCCGCGAGAACCCGCTCCTCGGACCCTCCTACGCCACGTACGTACACTCCGCCACGCGCTTTCTTTCTTGCTTTCTTTCGTACGTATCAGCTTCTTGATAGGCTACTTGTAAGCTAATGCTAAACATAATTAGTCATTCTAGCAATGCCAGAGATGACATATCTGTCAATAAATAATGAAAACTTTTACTTGGTGCCGGCCGGCTACAACTACAATGCCGGCCCTGTTACGTACGGATTAATTTCCAAAGGGAGTTTTGGCAACTGCAAACCTTTGGATTTAGGGCCAGTTTAGTTGCCGAAAATTTTGGCAAAATGACACTGTAGCAGTTTTCGTTGTTATTTGATAATTAGTGTCCAATCATAGTCTAATTAGGCTTAAAAGATTCGTCTCGTGGATTTCGTCTGTGTAATTAGTTTTATTTTTTATTTATATTTAATGCTTCATGCATGGATCCAAAGATTCGATGTGACGGGGAATCTTGAAAAATTTGACATTTTGAGAGGGAATTAAACGGTACCTTACTAGCACAAGCAAGAACCAGGAAATCCTACATATTCATCATTGATGGGAGATTGGGAGATACTTGTAGTACAATGTACGTATGGGCCCCCACCCAAGAAGCACTCAGCAGAGTTCAGTCTGTAATTTGCATTGCATGCTCCTGTTCAGTTCTGTTGCGTGCAAAACTTTCCTTCCTTCCTGAGTTGGTCATTTGACTTTGGTACACGGTGATGTCCTCCTCTGAAACTCAGAGACAGTGATTGATGAAGCATACAAGACATTGTGCAAAGCAAGCAATGCATTTGCTTTGGCCGGTTTAATTTGTCAACCAACCCAAAATGTGAAGGAAATCTTTGGAGTCGGTACCAGTCAGTTATCTAATTAATTACTACTATATATCTCTGAATGACCACTCATGGTCATGAACGGTAGCTGCAGGAGGATTCAAATGTCCCTGTCCATTTTTCTATCTATTCTATGTACGCGTGCTGATATCTTTGTTAGACTTCTTTGAACTTAGATTACACAAGACACATTGCAAAGTCAAAGAAGAGTAGGTGGATGATGACATGGCATTTCTCACTTCAAAAATAAAAATTAGAGTTTCACTTTCACTTCAGCCCCCTCTTTTTGTCCAAAAAAAAAAGATATTTAATTGCTTGTGTTACCAGTACGTTCAGGTACTGTACTCATCGGAGGCTAAACTGAAAATATATTTTTTTTATCTCAATCTCAATGCCAGGTTAGTGAAGATAGGGGCTCTCGATGTGCCTAAGGTTGTCCATGGCCGCAAAGGATGGTGTCTGATCACCTGCATGTGGCTCCATGCCGGAGTTGTTCATCTGCTCATCAACATCCTCTGCCTCGTAATCATCGGCATACGCCTCGAGCAAGAATTCGGGTTTGGTAAGTGATCGTACATACTATCCCTTTGGATTCTTCATTCCAACTTTGCTGAAAGCCTGAAACTAACACATCAGATGCATGCCTTTCAGTCACACTTGAAACTCCCTTATGGCCTTATCCATGATGCTGATAGATTGATTAGTTGCGTTAGTACAAAATCTGGAATAGTTTCGTTTCTGTTCTGCAAAGGAAAAAAAAAAGAGAACAGATTTTCATCTCATCCGAATACTTATGCCTATATATATGATGCAATGCAATATGCAGTGAGGATCGGTGTGGTCTACCTCATCTCTGGATTCGGCGGGAGCCTGATCATACAGTCCAATGTCTCCGTCGGCGCCTCGGGTGCTCTGTTCGGCCTCATTAGATCCATGCTCTCTGAACTCATAACAAACTGGTCACTCTACGCAAACAAGGTACACATGTACATGCATTATATTTCCCTGCTATCCTATCCTTCAACCTTCATCAGCAGATTAATCTTCGTCCTCTGTTCCAAAAGATTTGTGCAATTACATTCATAAATAAACAGTGCAGTCATTGTGCTACGATTCTTGGTTCAGGTGGCGGCGCTGCTAACGCTGGTGCTGGTGATCGTGGTGAACCTGGCGCTGGGGCTCCTCCCCCGGGTGGACAATTTCGCCCACATCGGCGGCCGCAGCTCCTCCGGTACCGGTTCCGGTGAAGCGCAAGCACAAGACGTACCAGTACGTGCTGTGGCTGGCCGCCGCCGTGCTGCTCGTCGTCGGGTTCACGGTGGCCACCGTGCTGCTGTTCAGAGGGTACAATGCGAACGAGCACTGCCCGTGGTGCCACTACCTCAGCTGCGTGCCGACCAAGAGGTGGAGGTGCGACGCGTCGCCGACCACGTGCACGGGTATGCAGCAGGAGAACACGCTGACCGTTGTCTGCGCCGGCGGCAAGAACCAGACGTACGTCGTCGCGTCGTCCGCGGACGCCACGCAGGGCAGGATCAACGACCTCTGCAACCAGCTCTGCACCTAGCTAGTCAACTGGATGCCTCTCGTTCCCTATTCTTTTGTACACGAAGGAAGGAATAGATAGATCATAGATGCTCCATTTTTACTCACTGTCAGAGTCAGAGTGAGATGATGAACAACGTACACTTCCAAAACAGATTGTTCAGATTATTTTACTGCCGTTGAGATCTTTTTTTTTGTTAGAGCATCATCTACAGTCGCACGGAAGTAGTCTAGCCACGTAATCCAACCAAAGGGATGGATCCGTTTATGGTACGTAAAAAGCAATGTGGCTCCCAGATGAAAAATAAAATAAAAAACAGATCACACACTGAGGGCTTGTTTAGTTTCAGACTGGCCAGAGTTGCCTGGAGCGCGCGTCAATCCCAGACGTCCGATTTCCCACGCCTGGGGACAGGATGAGCTGCCTGGCATCTGCCTGCGAGGGCTCGATCCAAACACGCCCTGAAGCCCTCCCAGCAGCTCCTTTTCTGCCTCTTTCGTGACCGTGAGGCTGCCGCGCATCCCCGGCCGAGCGGAGATTCCCCGCGCCACCGCCTCCAACGGCGCCACCTCGGCCACAGAGCTCCGCGCCGCCCCAGCCCCGGCCTCGCCCATGGGCCATGGCTGCCACCGCCGCATCCACGGCCATCACCACCTCGGCCACCTCGCTCCATGGCACCGCCGGCACCTCCACGGCCTACTTCGTGGCGACCACACCAAGCCGGTGATCGGAGATCTGCCTCGTTGGGCCGTGCCCCGGAGGTCGGAGATCTGCCTCCGCCTTCGAAGAGCAGCAACCAGCAGGTGCAAATCAATTTTTTAATGCACCAGGAGTCGACTCCAAGTCTTGCATCGGTTCTTCCCTTTCTTTCCTCAATGCATCGCCTCCTGTCCTGCAGTGGTTGATTCGACTCATTCTTGTGATGCATCGGTTTCAATTCTCAACGGGAACAGATAAAGGTTCTTTGAGTGGGCATGAAGGAAGGAACAGATGCATTGCTTTTGCTTTTTGCTTTGTTTCTGTATGTACACAAGGGATGCATACTGGAGCTTTTCAACTGTCAGAGTGAGATGGAGAAACATACAGCTCGAAATGAAAACAGGATGCGAGCTATTATTATTTATGCAGCACCACCGTTTCAGTCTTCACTCTTCAGGGGTGCCTTCCTTGTACAACTGATGTCGACCAAATCCCCACCTGGTATATTTATTTGATTTCCATGAGACAGAAAGAGAGATAGAAAGACAAAGAATTTATTCGATTTTCAGCCTCAGCCTTCCTGAGAGGGAAATATAAAGACATACTGAGACAGGGAAAGAATTCATTCGATTTCCAGCCGTAATGGTACCGTATTAGTTAGTACTATGCGTTATTTTTATTAGATAGAATGCAGCAACCAAAGATGCCCTGCTGTGCTGACGGGCAAAGCTAGGAAGTCGATGCCCCAGCCCCACTCTGTTTCCCTCCAAAGCCACCATCACTCTGTTTCCCTCCAAAGCCACCATTCTCTTCTGTCTTCTCCAAGCCGCCACGCCATTGTGTTCCCATCCCCTGCGCGCGCTCTCCTCTCCCTCTGAGCGCGTGTTCTCGATCCAGAGCTCTGCTGAGTGCTCCAATGGCTGAACTAGCGGCCAGCCTGGTGGTTGGGCCGCTGGTGTCCTTGCTGAAGGACAAGGTGTCCAGCTCTCTCCTGGACCGGTACAACGTGATGGAGGGCATGGAGAAGCAGCGCAAGATCCTCGAACGCAAGCTGCCTGCCATCCTCGACGTCATTGCCGATGCCGAGAAGCAGGCGTCTGGCCGACGAGGAGAAAAGGCATGGCTTGAGGCGCTCAAGACAGTGGCATATGAGGCGAACGACGTCTTCGACGAGTTCGAGTATGAGGCACTCCGCCGTCGAGCCAAGAAGGATGGGCACATCACCAAGCTCGGCATGGCTGGAGTAAAACTCTTACTCACAACCGGGTTGCGTTCCGTTGCAGGATGGGAAACAAGCTTAGTGGCATTGTTGAGGCCATCAAGGTCCTTGTGGAGGAAATGAACGTTTTTGGATTCGAAAAGTTTCAGCTCGAGGCACCAGCATGGAACAGGTAACGTGAGATGGATTCCGTTATCGTTGATCCTGAAAACATTGTTAGTAGATCTAGAGAAAAGGAGAGGAAGGAAATTATTGAGATATTGCTCAGCCATCAAGCTAGCAGCGGTGATCTCTTAGTTCTTCCCATCGTTGGAATGGGAGGATTGGGCAAGACAACCCTTGCTGAACTCATCTACAACGACCCTCAGGTCAAGGAGCATTTCCAGCTACTAAAGTGGGTGTGTGTCTCAGATGATTTCAATGTCTGTAATCTTGCCAACAAGGTATGTAATGCTTCGGAGACAATCCTGGAGGAGGCACTCAACAAGCTTCAGGAACATCTTAGGGGAAAGAGGTATTATTGCTAGAGCTTATTATTGCTAACTCAACTCTCACCTTCTATCATGTTTTTATGTTTTATTTATTCTTGCTGAACACTTAGTACGTCATGTCATGTATTGTGTACCCCTATGTAATATTTAGATAACATAAGTTTGTGTGTGGGTTGTAAAATAAAGTAGGCAGGTCTAATTATCTCAGTCATGTTTTTTTTGGCATAGTCACATGTAAGAAATATTTACTACTGTGTTCTACCACTATGCAATCACATAAAAGTACAACATGGTTCCAAAATGGAAGCTTGATTTTTTTTCTAGCCACCCCACCCCACGCACATCCAAACATGGCATTAGCTCTAACAATTTTATTTTCTAGAGGTCTGCAGTCTATATAATAACTTCCATTGCAACATAGGCTCTATGCTTGATTTAGGGCCATGCACAAAGAAAGGTACTAACAAAAAAAAAGGTTCCTAATAGGTATATTCTTGTATTGGATGACGTATGGAATAAGGATGTTGACAAATGGGGAAAGTTGAAGGCATGTCTTAATCAAGGCGGTGTCGGTAGTGCCATATTGACGACGACTCGTGATAAAGAAATAGCTAAATTCATGGGTACAGTAGCTAACAACTCATCATGGAAAAATAAATACCATGATGTGGCAATTTTGGACATAGAATTCATACTTGAAATTATTGAAACAAGAGCTTTCGGTTTGCAGAAGACTAAGCCAGAGGAGCTAGTTATGTTGGTTGGCCCGATTGTAGAGAGATGAGTTGGATCTCCATTGGCAGCCAAAGCATTGGGGTCTGTATTGTGTAACAAGACCACTAAGGAAGAATGGGAGGACATATTACATCGAAGCAGGATACGCGATGACGAGATCAGGATTTTACCTATACTCAAGCTCAGTTATAATGACTTGCAAACTGACATGAAGCAATGCTTTGCCTTTTGTGCTATGTATCCAAAGGATTATCAAATTGATGTTGAGGAGCTTATCCAACTATGGATGGCCAATGGTTATATCTCAGATCAAAACAAGGTACCTGCTGAAACCATGGGTAAACGGATTGTCAATGAGATGGTTTCAAGGTCATTCTTCCAGTATGAGGAGCAAAGAAGGATTGGGTATAGTTCTACAACTTTTGTGAAGATCCATGACCTCATGCATGATGTTGCACTATCTGCTTCAGAAAAGGAGTGTGTTTGTATAACTCATGAATTCTTTCGAAGTGGTGACTTGCTTCCTGGTGCTGCCGGCCATATACTTTTTCAAACAAGAATGGACAAAAAGAGATTAAATTTTTTATTTGGTACTACGAAGGAAAAGTTTCCACCTATACAAACAATGATGTTTGATAGATTTTATCCCCGTGAAGATCTGCTGCATTTATCTAAATATAGTTCTCTCCGAGCACTTTCTATGCCAGGGTCATGGGCTCATTTGTCAATAAAACCAAAGCACTTGTGCCACCTTAGGTACCTTGATCTCTCAGATAATGATGACATCGAAGCACTTCCAGATGATATAAGCATCCTATATAGTCTCCAGACACTAAAACTTTCTAACTGCAGCAGTCTCAAAAGACTTCCTGAGCAAATGAAGCACATGAGTAGCCTTCGTCATCTCTACGCAGATGGGTGCACGAAGCTGGAGTGCATGCCTTCAGAGCTTGGACGAATCACCTCGCTTCGAACAATTACATGGTTTGTAGTGGGAAGTGGCTTGAATTGTAGCAGTCTTGGAGAGCTAAAGGATTTAAATATTGGTGGTTCATTAATGCTAAAGCAGCTCGAAAATGTGACAGTGAGAAGAAATGCAAAAGCAGCCAACCTTGAGAATAAGAAGGAACTGAGACAATTGTCACTACGGTGGACAAGTGGCAAGGAGGTGGAACAATGTCATGAGGTGCTAGAGAGTCTTGAAGCTCATGATAGACTGCTGGCTCTCGAAATATATTCGTACCAAGGCACCAGTTTCCCATCATGGATGGGTATGTTGAAAAACATGGTTGAGCTTCAGCTGTCTAATTGTAATAATGTAGAGCAGCTTCCTCCATTGTCTCAGCTAGCAGATCCACAACTCCTTCATTTGAAAGAAATGGGAAAATTACAATTCTTGTGTAGCAGCTGTACATCCTCCACGTTTGGAAAGCTTAGGGATCTTAAGCTAGTTAATCTTCACATTTTTCATGGATTTTGTCAGGCAGCACATGGACGTATCGTAGCATTTCCTCAGCTTGAGATATTGCACATTGAAGGCTGTAAAAATTTGGCAGCATTACCAGTAGCATCGGTGCTCACCGTATGGTGGTGGAGATTACACAGTGGCCCGGTCCGCCTTTCCAAAACTGAAGAAGCTCATACTGGAAGATTTAAATAGCTTTGAGAGATGGGAGTCTGCCCTTGAAATTGAAGAAGAACATGCACTGTTCCCTTTGCTTGAGATTCTTGTTATCAAGAAATGCCCAAAGTTAACAACTCTGCCTAGGGCACCAAAGGTCAAAGGACTAGTTTTGTGGGAAGCAAATCAACAGATTTCTCTAGGAGGAATCAGAAATATGACGTCACTGTCCAGCTTGTCTTTGAAGGGCGTCAAGCTGGATGATAAGGAGGAATGGGACCATCCGTCGTCTATGGTAGATATGAAACTATTGAGCTGCAGTTTGTTCTTCCAACCACGTGCACTAGTACTGTGGTTTTGCTATGGGCAGCTGCAGGATCTGAGAATTGATTGCTGCGATGAGCTTGTGTACTGGCCGGAGAAAGTATTCCAAAGCTTGATTTCCTTGCGGAGGCTACGGATTGAGAACTGCGATAATCTAATTGGATACGCAGCGGCAAATGCTCCTGACCAGAAAACATCAGGAAGGAGCCAACTTTTGCCCCATCTGGAGTTTCTAGAGATATGGAAGTGTGGAAGTCTGGTAGAGGTCTTCAACTCCCCTGCTCTCAAGAGGATGGATGTTCAAGGAAGCTGTAAGCTTGAGTCCCTATACGGCAGGCAACAGTTGAATCAAGAGGCTAGTAGTACCCATGACGTGGCAGCATCCACACCTGTTGAGGAGAAGCTGTCACCATCGGCGGACCCGGATAAGCTCCTTCCATCATCTTGAAGGTACGCACCAATCTTTCCCGTACGGTGACAGCTATATACACCCATGTGCATACATAAATCTCGTGTTTGCATGTCTGTCCTATATATTTTTTGTTTGGTGGACACGCCGCCATATACACATGTTTGCCATGTCATTTCAAATCTCAGCACTTACTATGTCTATGTGCTAGTTTTGACCGAAGCAGTAGATATATGTATTTTTGAAATCTTATTGGATTTCGACGATTCTTTGACATCTATGTATCGCTCTTGTGTTCTCCATGGCTGCCTGGGCATCTCTACCTCTCCGCTGCTCGCTTTATCCTTTGAGCATTTTTCCCTAGAGTTTTCATATACACATGGACTCTCTGTTCCCACTTCCCACACCATGAGTTGAATTGTGTGTTTAGAATTTGACCAAATGTATACAGGCTGTTGACTACTTGGAAGCAAAGTTACGACCGAATTAGCATATGTTAAAAGCTTTAATTGATGAGTCTTTTTTAATTAACAGATCACTCTCCACGGCTGCTTGGTGGGCGTCTATGCTCCTGGCTTTAATTTCTCCGCGACTTGGTCGGTCTTGGGTGAAGAGTGAAGGCCACACCCCAAATGCCGCCTTCTCCACTGACTGACATCCAGTGGAGGAGGAGGAGGAGCAACAGCAGCAACTTCGTCACCAGCGATGAATCCAGCAGAAAGAAGGACGTTCACGCCCAAGCTGAAACTTCCCTCATCTACAACTGCAATGCAAGGGTAAAAAGCAAGAACTAGACACCATGAGTACATCATAGCATAGGAGAACGAAGCGACCCAGAGCAACGGTCTGCTCTGCAGGAGGCTACATCCATGAGATCATAGATTATTAGATTCGTTGGCTATTCTTTGTGAGTCAAGGAATTACTGTTATTATTATAATCAGAGTTCATGAAGCAGGAGGAGATTTATTTATGAAGCGCCGTTTACTTATAATCAGTTTCATTGGTGCCTTTATTATTGGTTTTATTATAATCAGTTTCATTAGAAAAGGCGAAGCCTACACACACGAGTTGAAAAATGGACTACTTGTTCTAGCTTATATATTTGCATAAAAAGAACTCAACATTTCCTATTTGTTCTATTGTTTTAATGCACTTGTTGCAAAATCTAAAATATCATAAGATGTAAGAGCATCTCATCCAAGAGTTTCTAAAATCCACTCCCAATGATTTTTTTTTTGCAAGATTGAATAAAACTGCTCTCCAATAACAACTCGCTATCTCAACTCCCAATCTTTCCGCACTTGGGAAAATCGATCAAATCGTGGGGAAATATACAAGCATGTATATATAGACCGGCCAATCTAGAGGTGGTAGGACGGGTTTTCAATGCAAATGTGCAAGAGCGAAAGGAAATTTAAAAGTGGTTAGGGTGATTTGAAAATGGTCCGTGCGGGATTCCTGATGCAAAATTGTATTCTACATTTTAGGAGCGAGATTTTATAAAATATTACATAAATTAAACTTAACAAATGTGCTCCTAACTTTTTTTTTATCTACTTGGAAAACTCATTGATTTACCAATTGCTTTTTTAGGAACTATATTGGAGATGCTCTAACTTCTTGCAAAACACGCGGTGTAAGCCTAGTACGTAATACCTTTAGGTCTTGAACTTTATAGATTCATTTCATGTGTACGTTTATATGTCGGTACTTACTTCTAAGATGAACAATTCTCTATTCTAATTATTCCCAGGATTCTTCTAATTAATATGAAACCTTTATAATAACAATACATTAACTTTATATGGTGGTATTATTCGTTCACTAGGGGGCTCTTACTTCACGGGAGCACCCTACCACTATATCATACACTAGCATGTGCCAAGCGTAGGATGCTATCCTTTTATATTATTTTTTTACGAATCTTGTATTGAAAATTGCGATGTCTAAATGAGTTTAGATGAACTAGCTTGAACCACATAGCTTTACATCTTGTCGACTACTGTAACTTTGGTACAGAGCAGGTCTTCATTCGAGATCGTTTTGAAAATTTTGATTAATCTAAGGATTCAAAACATATACTTGGAACCCCCCAGACGGATGCTTTTGCATTTGCATGGACTCAAAAAGCTGAACATGGATGCCGCAGGCTCAGGCAGGTGAGTCAAGCAACGCATATATATATGATCGGAGTAGTAATAAAAATAAAAATAGAACATGAGGAGGGACTTGGGGTGATCGAGCCCACGCGACAGTCCCTTGGCCATCAATCAAAATCGCTGGCAGCGTGCCATACGCGACTCCTAAGAGATTTTTGTGTCCATAGCAGTCAGCCAAGGCTCCACGTCCCTCCATCAATTGTTTTGATGAACAATTGATAGCAGTCAGTCAAGGGTGGCTGGCTGCCGGCCATGTGACCTTGTCCCCCTGGCCCTGGCCCTCCATTATTGCCGACGTCGACGCGACCACACGCACAGGACGAGCATGAGAGAGCGGCGTGCTACCAAACCATTTGGAAGCAATAATTCCGAGTGGTTAGGTACATGTTCTTTTCGAGAGGGAATCGTCGAAAGGAGATTTCTCGTGCTTTAACTATGTCCGTTTGCCAGAGCTTTGGCTCCAGCTAAAATAGTTTCGGTTGTGGTTTTAATGGTGGAGTAGATTCATTAAAGAGCTGAAGTAGTTTTTTTTGACCATTTAACAAAACAGGTTCTCCTTGGTAAAAAATGATAGAATCTCCAAAATACCTTTTTTTTATTTTTTCTTTTTGTTTCTATTTTCCTTTTTCTTTTGCTACCTTATCCGCTCGCTTGTGGTTGCAACAGCCGCATGCGAGTGCCTTATCTGCTTGCTCGCATGGCCGCACGTGAGTGCGCGAGCGTCTTCATCCACTGGACGCACTCCCGTGTTCGGTGAGAAGGCGACTCGGCTGCTGGCGGCGCACCTCTGCTGCCTAGCGACGCGTGCACCTCTGCTGGCGGCGCTTCGACACCCGCGCGCTCGAGCGTCACCTCGCCCTGCGCACCCATGCCTCGGCGAGACAGCGACCCCGCTGCCCCGACGCCACTCTGCCTCGAGTCTACGTCCGTCCTAGAGCTGCGTGGACCGACGGCGATGGTCCAGCACGGCGGCGATGGTCTGGCACCCATGTCCGACGAGGGGTATTTTCGCCTAGGCCCACAAAGACGGAGGACGGAGCCAAGTGAAGCTCGTTTTTTTTGGCTCCTCCTCTCGTCTGCGGCTCCGGTCAGCGGGAAACACGGAGCTTCACACACGGACCACCGCTGCCTTCACCCTTCTGGCTGGCGGAGCCAAAAAACAGCTCTAGGAGCCAAACGAGAAGCTGTACCAAACGGGCTCATAGGAGTATGAGTTACCAGAGAGAGCTCTCAGCTTGCCCACACCCTACCATTGTGTGTTCTCGACAACTCTGCTGAGCGCTGAGCGCTCGCTCCAATGGCTGAACTAGCGGCCAGCCTGGTGGTCGCCCCGCTGGTGTCCCTGCTGAAGGAGAAGGTGTGTGTCCAGCTCGCTCCTGGACCAGTACAACGTGATGGAGGGCAGGGAGAAGCACCACAAGACCCTCATGCGCTGGCTGCCTGCCATCCTCGACATCATTGGCGACCCCGAATTTCTAGAAAAAAAACGTTAAGATTTATGAAGCCAAATTAGTATCATTAGATTTATCAAAAATATATTTTCATAAGGTGTTCAATTTATTTCTTAGATGTTATTTTTTTCTATAAAGTTAGTCAAACTTATTGGCACGGATTTTAAGAATTGATTTATTTGGTAACGAGGAAGGGAGCAGGATACAACAATCAATCAAGATGCCATGTTTCTTATAGTATGAATAGCGGACAATTAATCATCTGCCACTTGATTATGAACAATCAAAAGAACGGTAAACTAGTCAGGTAACGAAGGCTAGGCCCCACTGCTTTGTTGGTCTTAGCGCTAACCATGTGATGGGTTACTCGTTTTCCACTCAGGGCGGCTGAAGAAGATGTTTTCTAATCTTTTTTTGTTATTTCTAATTGCTGAATGAACATGCTCTCTAATGGCTAGCTGTGACTATATGTTATTAGGATACAACAATCAATTAAGATGCTCTGCACCCGCAAAAAAAGATTATAAGCTGTACTTTTTCATGCAACGAATAGTACTTTTCTCTCCCAACAAATTAACCAACAATACTTTCAGTCATCGCTTATCAGCCAAGCGAACAGGGCATATGTGTGTCTAGAAATTATTACTATTGCTATTATATCGATAGATGCCGTCTTTTTTACCATCAGTGTGAGAGTGAGAGTGAGATCGAGAACATAGAGTTCCAAAACATGAGAGATTTATTTATGTAGCGCCATTTATTTATAATCAGATTTATTGGTGCCTTATTATTGCTTATATAAATAATCTGCATGAAAACAACATTTCCGATTCTATTGTTTTGATGCACTTGTTGCAAAATCTAAAATATATCATAGGATAATGTCGGGGACCAATACTAGGGTATCCGAAGAGGAGGGACTAATGGTTGTCGACGATAGTTCATCCAAGCAGTCAAGGCGCGCGACTACAGCTCCGACCGACCCTAAGGTGCACAAGCTCCGCCTCGCTCGACCTCCGAGGGCGGACTCCGCCTCGCCCGACCTCTTAGGGCGGGCACCGCCTCGTCCGATCTCTGGGGGCGAGCTCCACCTCACCCGACCCCGAGGCCAGAGGCTCCGCCTCGCCCGACCCCGAGGGCTCCGGTTTCGCTTCGCCCGACCCTTCGGCGGACTCCTAAGAGATTTTTGTGTCAATAGCAGTCAGCCACGGCTCCACGTCCCTCCATCAATTGTTTTGATGAACAATTGATAGCAGTCGATCAGTCAAGGGTGGCTGGCTGCCGGCCATGTGACCTTGTCCCCCTGGCCCTCCATTATTGCCGACGTCGACGCGACCACACGCACAGGACGAGCATGAGAGAGCGGCGCGCTACCAAACCATTTGGAAGCAATAATTCCGAGTGGTTAGGTACATGTTCTTTTCGAGAGGGAATCGTCGAAAGGAGGTTTCTCATGCTTTAACTACATACGAGTACGACCACACCCTACCGTTGTGTGTTCTCGACAACTCTACCGAGCGCTGAGTGCTCGCTCCAATGGCTGAGCTAGCGGCCAGCCTGGTGGTTGGGCCGCTGGTGTCCCTGCTGAAGGACAAGGTGTCCAGCTCTCTCCTGGACCAGTACAACGTGATGGAGGGGGGCATGGAGAAGCAGCGCAAGATCCTCGAGTGCATCCTGCCTGCCATCCTCGACGTCATTGTCGATGCCGAGAAGCAGGCGTCTCGCCGACGAGGAGTAAAGGCATGGCTTGAGGCGCTCAAGACGGTGGCATATGAGGCGAACGACGTCTTCGATGAGTTCGAGTATGAGGCACTCCGCCATCGAGGCAAGAAGGATGGGCACATCACCAAGCTCGGCATGGCTGGAGTAAAACTCTTCCTTACTCACAACCGGGTTGCGTTCCGTTGCAGGATGGGAAACAAGCTTACTGGCATTGCTGAGGCCATCAAGGTCCTTGTGGAGGAAATGAACGTTTTTGGATTCGACAAATTTCAGCTTGAGGCACCAGCATGGAACAGGTGGCGTGAGATGGATTCCGTTATCGTTGATCCTGAAAACATTGTTAGTAGATCTAGAGAAAAGGAGAGGAAGAAAATTATTGAGATATTGCTCAGCCATCAAGCTAGCAGTGGTGATCTCTTAGTTCTTCCCATCGTTGGAATGGGAGGATTGGGCAAGACCACCCTCGCTCAACTCATCTACAATGACCCTCAGGTCAAGGAGCATTTCCAGTTAAGCCTGTTCGCTTGCTCGTAAATGATCGTAAATTTCCAGTCAGGAATAGTGTTTTTCTCTCACACCAAACCAGTCAGCAGTAAATAATCCACGATACGATACGGCCTCCCGAAAGATATGTAAAGTGGGTGTGTGTCTCAGATGATTTCAATGTCTGTAATCTTGCCAACAAGATATGTAATGCTTCGGGCACAATCCTAGAGGAGGCACTCAACAAGCTTCAGGAACATCTTAGGGGAAAGAGGTATTATTGCTAGAGCTTATTATTGCTAACTCAACTCTCACCTTCTATCATGCTTTTATGTTTTATTTATTCCTGCTGCAGTAAGTTATATCATGTATTGTGTACCCCTATGTAATATTTAGACAACATAAGTTTTATTTATTTTGGCATAGTCACATGTAAGAAATATTTACTACTGTGTTCTACCACTATGCAATCCCATAAAAGTACAGCATGGTTCCAAAACGGAAGCTAGAATTATTGACCAAGAACATTATATAGCCACCCCACCCCACGCACATCCAAACAAGGCATTAGCTCTAACTATTTTTTTTCTAGAGGTCTGCAGTCTATATAACAACTTCCATTGCAACATAGGCTCTATGCTTGATTTAGGGCCATGGACATAGAAAGGTACTAACAGAAAAAAAATTCCTAATAGGTACCTTCTTGTATTGGATGACGTATGGAATAATGATGTTGACAAATGGAGAAAGTTGAAGGCATGTCTTAATCAAGGCGGTGTCGGTAGTGCCATATTGACGACGACTCGTGATAAAGAAATAGCTGAATTCATGGGTACAGTAGCTAACAACTCATCATGAAAAAATAAATACCATGATGTGGCAATTTTGGACATAGAATTCATACATGAAATTATTGAAACAAGAGCTTTCGGTTTGCAGAAGACTAAGCCAGAGGAGCTAGTTAAGTTGGTTGGCCCGATTACAGAGAGATGTGTTGGATCTCCATTGGCAGCCAAAGCGTTGGGGTCTGTATTGTGTAACAAGACCACTAAGGAAGAATGGGAGGACATATTACGTCGAAGCAGGATATGCGTTGATGAGACCGGGATTTTACCTATACTCAAGCTCAGCTATAATGACTTGACAACTGACATGAAGCAATGCTTTGCCTTTTGTGCTATGTATCCAAAGGATTATCAAATTGATGTTGAAAAGCTTATCCAACTATGGATGGCCAATGGTTATATCTCAGATCAAAACAAGGTACCTGCTAAAACCATGGGTAAACGGATTGTCAATGAGATGGTCTCAAGGTCATTCTTCCAGTATGAGGAGCAAAGATGGATTGGGTATAGTTCTACAACTTTTGTGAAGATCCATGACCTCATGCATGATGTTGCACTTTCTGCTTCAGAGAAGGAGTGTGTTTGTATAACTGATGAATTTATTGAAAGTGGTGACTTGCTTCCTGGTGCTGACCGCCATATACTTTTTCAAACAAGCATGGACAAAAAGGGATTAAATTTTTTATTTGGTACTACGAAGGAGAAGTTTCCACCTATACAAACAATGATATTTGATAGATCTTATTTTTACCATCAAGATGTGCCACATTCATCAAAATTAAGTTCTCTCCGAGCACTTTCTATGCCAGTATCAGGGGCTCCTTTGTCAATAAAACCAAAGGACATGTGCCACCTTAGGTACCTTGATCTCTCAAGTAATGTTGGCATCGAAGCACTTCCAGATGATATAAGCATCCTATATAGTCTCCAGACACTAAAACTTTCTAACTGCAGCAGTCTCAAAAGACTTCCTGAGCAAATGAAGCACATGAGTAGCCTTCGTCATCTCTACACAGATTACTGCACGAAGCTGGAGTGCATGCCTCCAGAGCTTGGACGAATCACCTCGCTTCGAACAATTACATGGTTTGTAGTGGGAAGTGGCTTGAATTGTAGCAGTCTTGGAGAGCTAAAGGATTTAAATATTGGTGGTTCATTAATGCTAAAGCAGCTGGAAAATGTGACAGTGAGAAGAAATGCAAAGGCAGCCAACCTTGAGAATAAAAAGGAACTGATACAATTGTCACTACGGTGGACAAGTGGCAAGGAGGATGAACAACAATGTCATGAGGTGCTACAGAGTCTCGAAGCTCATGATGGACTGCTGGCTCTCGAAATATATTCCTACCAAGGCACCAGTTTCCCATCATGGATGGGTATGTTGAAAAACATGGTTGAGCTTCGGTTAACTAATTGTAGTAAAGCGGATCAGCTTCCTGAATTCGAACAGCTAGCAGAACTACAAGTCCTTCATTTGGAAGGATTGGAAAAATTGCAATTCCTGTGTAGCAGCCGTACATCCTCCGCATTTGGAAAGCTTAAGGATCTTAAGCTTGTTAATCTTCAGGTTTTTGATAGATTTTGGGAGGCAACACATGGAGGCACCGTAGCATTTCCTCAGCTTGAGATATTGCACATTAAAGGCTGTAAAAATTTGGCAGCATTACCAGAAGCATCAGTGCTCAGAGAACCGTATGGTGGTGGAGACTACACAGTGGCCCGGTCCGCCTTTCCAGAACTGAAGAAGCTCAATTTGGAAGATTTAAATAGCTTTGAGAGATGGGATACTGCCATTGAAATTGAAGAAGAACATGCACTGTTCCCTTTGCTTGAGATTGTTGGTATCGAGAAATGCCCAAAGTTAACAACTCTACCTAGCGCACCAAAGGTCAAAGAACTGGTTTTGCATGAAGCAAATCAACAGATTTCTCTAGGAGGAATCAGATGTATGACGTCGTTGTCCAGTTTGTCTTTGGAGGGCGTCAAGCTGGATGATAAGGAGGAATGGGACCATCCGTCGTCTGTGGTAGCTATGAAACTATTGAGCTGCAGTTTGTTCTTCCAACCACGTGCACTAGCACTGTGGGTTTGCTATGGGCAGCTGCAGGATCTGAGAATTGATAGCTGCGATGAGCTTGTGTACTGGCCGGAGAAAGTATTCCAAAGCTTGATTTCCTTGCGGAGGCTATGGATTAGCCATTGCGATAATCTAATTGGATACGCAGCGGCAAATGCTCCTGACCAGGAAACATCAGGAAGGAGCCGACTTTTGCCCCATCTTGAGTATCTGGAAATATCTTGGTGTGGAAGTCTGGTAGAGGTCTTCAACTCCCCTGCTCTCAAGAGGATGGAAGTTGGATTCTGTTGTAAGCTTGAGTCCCTATACGGCAGGCAACAGTTGACTCAAGAGGCTAGTAGTACCGATGACGTGGCGGCATCCACACCTGTTGAGGAGAAGCTGTCACCATGGGTGGACCCGGATAAGCTCCTTCCATCATCTTTAGAATCTCTAACAATATCTAGCTGTGACGGGTTGTCAGAGGTTGTCAATCTTCCCTCGTCCCTCAGGGAAATATATATTTATTCTTGCTCCAAACTACGGTTCATATCAGGGCAAGTGGATGCACTCCAACACCTAAAAATTTTCGACTGCCCAGAGTTGCGGTCACTAGAATCATTATGCATGATAGATCTCTCAGCACTGGAAGTCCTCTATATGTACGATTGCATGAGCCTGGCATCCTTGCCCAGTGGGCCAGAACCACAAGAATACTCATGTCTTCGTCAGCTTACAATTAGGGGGTGCCCAGTGTTAAAACTTATAGGATCGACTAGGAGTAGATCCGGGGTGTTAAACATTTACTGGATGAATCAAAGACCTAGAACACGTTCTAGACAGAGAGACAGAGATAGAGAGAGGATAGAGGAAGAACGTATCGAGCTTGACACCACAGGGGGATGATCCAGAAGCCGCCAGCACGTTCGTCGGTGAAGTCTGTGCACGGGCAGTGACGTTCGGTGAAGACGGTGTCGGTGATGGGCAGTGGCGACCGGCGGTGAAGACCGGTGGCGGCGCAGTGTAGTGGTGGTGGTGACGCAGTCCGGTGGCGGCGCGGCTGGTGGCTTCCCGTCACTGGTTGCGCGCCCTCTAGATCGGATTAGGGATTTCGGTGGGGAGCTCGGGTCAGGCGAACCTCGTACTCAGAGCCGCTGGCCCCCACCTCTATTTATTGCGCAGTGTGACAGGGCCCTCCAGCTATAGTGGGTTGGGCACCCCCGATCAGGGCGTGGATCAAAGGCCCAACTAGGCCGTTGGGCCCAGTTTGGGATTAGAGATCAATCTAAAAATCTCCCCCTTGATCTCCTACCATTTTTTAATTTCATATCATTTACTTTTATTCATTCCATTACAGATTAGTGCATAGAGCATGTTTCATCGTCACGATCAATTGCCGATAGATTTAACAGCTAACACACCACTCTGTTCTGAAATAGATACTTCACATTGGGCCTTCTTTTGTCAAGGAATTATAGGTTTTCCCTTAAACCCATGCCGGCTACATGTTCTCTGAACACGTTGAGTGGTAAGCCTTTTGTAAGAGGATCCGCGAGCATCTTTTCGGTACTTATATGCTCAAGACTTATGACATGATCCCAGACTTTATCTTTCACAACATAATACTTTATGTCAATGTGTTTGGCAGCACCACTTGACTTATTGTTGTGAGCATACTGTACTGCCGGATTATTATCGCAGTATAACTTAAGTGGTCTATAGATGTCGTCAATGACCTTCAAACCGGGTATGAACTTCTTTAGCCAGTTCACCTGCCCCGTTGCCTCATAACACGCTACAAACTCGGCATACATTGTGGATGATGTAGGGACGGTTTCCTTTGAGCTTTTCCATGAAATAGCTTTCCCTGCGAGAGTGAATACATATCCAGACGTGGATTTTCTATCATCTCCCGCATAATCTGAATCTAAATATCCCACTATATGAAGTGAATCAGATCTTCTATACGTCATCATGAGGCTTTTCATTCCTTGCAAATAACGCAAGACTTTTTTTTACTAATTTCCAGTGTTCTGTTCTATGATTGCTCTGGAATCTGCCAAGTAACCCGGTAACAAATGCCAAGTCAGGGCGCGTACATACTTGAGCATATTGCAAGCTTCCGATAGCTGAAGCATATGGAACCGTTTTCATTTGATCGATCTCATACTGATTCCTGGGGCATTGAAAATCCTCATATCTATTGCCCTGGACTATAGGAGCAGGTGAGGGACTACATTTGTGCATATTGAATTTCTTTTAAATCTTTTCTATGTATGCCTTTTGTGACAGTCCTAATACACCTTTACTTCTATCTCGGTTAATCTCGATCCCTAGAACGAACGAAGCTTCCCCAAGATCTTTGATATCAAATTTTGAGGATAAAAACTTCTTTGTCTCTAGTAGTAGACTGGCATCACTACTAGCAAGTAAGATATCATCCACATACAGGACAAGAAAGATAAACTTTCCATTCTTAAACTTTGCATAGACACAATTGTCCTCTATATTTTCTTTAAACCCAAAATTCCTTATTGTCTGATCAAACTTCAAGTACCACTGTCTTGAAGCTTGTTTTAATCCATAAATGGAATTTTTTAGGCGGCATCCTATTCGTTCTTTTCCTTCCACGACAAAACCTTTCGGTTGTGCCATGTAAATATTTTTCTCCAAGTCCCCGTTGAGAAATGTCGTCTTTACATCCATCTAATGTAATTCTAAATCGTAATGTGCCACTAATGCCATTATGATTCTGAAGGAATCCTTACATGAGACTGGAGAAAATATCTCATTGTAATCAATCCCTTCTCTTTGAGTAAAGCCTTTTGCCACAAGTCGCGCTTTATATCTCTCTGTATTCCCTTGAGAGTCATGTTTTGTTTTGTAGACCCATTTACAACTTACTGTTTTGGCTCCTTTAGGAATTATTTCCAAGTTCCAAACTTTATTGGCATTCATAGATTTCATTTTATCTTCCATGGCCTCAAGCCACTTTGATGAATGATCACTTCTCATGGCTTCTTCAAATGAGGTGGGATCATCCTCCGTTTGAAATTCCTCAGTGTTGTATACTTCATAGTCAGTAGGAATAGCTGATTTTCTAACTCTTTGAGACCTTCTAGGGGCCTCCACATCTGGCACATCTTCTGTTTGAGGCTGTTGTTGCTCCCCCTCATGTGTGGCAATAGGTTCTATAGGATCCTGAAGAACAGGTTCCTCATCGTCATTCATTGTTTCCACAGGTGGAATAACAACAGGTGCTGGTACCATAGTACCTTGCACTGTCGGTGCAGCGACAGCAGGTAGTGAGAAAATGGCTCATGAATCATCGGAGTGGGCGCATACACCTGCTTCTCTTCAAGGTCAATTTCTCGAGCTATCATGCTCCCCCTTATCATTTCATCCTCTAAGAAGACAGCGTGTCTCATTTCCGCAAACTTTGTATGTTTGTCTAGACAGTAGAAACGAAAACCTTTTGACTTTTTTGGGTAGCCAATGAAATGGCAACTTACTATTTTAGGATCTAGCTTCCCAATGTTTGGGTTAAATACTTTAGTCTCAGCAGGACTCCCCCACACACGTAAGTGGTTTAGTGAGGGTACTCTTCCTGTCCACAACTCATACGGTGTTTTGGGCACCGACTTACTTGGTACTCTATTGAGAATATGAATGGCGGTTTTTAACACCTCCATCCACAGGCTCAATGATAAGGTGGAGTAACTTATCATACTGCGCACCATATCCATCAGGGTACGATTACGCCTTTCAGCTACTCCATTCTACTGAGGTTCGTCCGGTGTAGAATACTAGGCTACTATGCCATTCTCCTGTAAGAACCTTGCAAAAGGTCCAGGAACTTGGCCATATGGGGTATGCCGACTGTAGTACTCCCCCCACGGTCGGACCTGACTATCTTAATCTTTAAATTGTGTTGGTTTTCAACTTCTGCCTTAAATATCTTAAATTTATCTAATGTTTTTGTTCTTTCTTTGATTGGATAAATGTAGCCATAATGAGAGTAATCATCTGTGAATGTTATGAACGAATCATAACCATCCACACTCTTTACAGGAAACGGACCACATATGGCCGCATGAATAATCTATAAAATTCCTGCGCTTTGTTTGGCATCTTTCTTAATTTTCTTTACATACTTTCCTTTTATGCATTCTCTGCATTGTTCTAGATCTGAGAACTCTAATGGAGGAAGAATATCATTCTTAACTAGTCTTTCTATTCTCTCCCTCAAAATATGGCCTAAACGATAGTGCCATAATTTCGACAACGCATCGTGAGCTCTCTTTCATTTTCTGTTTACATCCGCAGAGGAGGATACATTCTCATTGTCGCACGCAACGTTCCCATCATCGCATATAACATTCACATCATCACGTAGTGATAACAAATAAAGCTCATTTTGTAAGATAGCAAGACCAACACATGCATTATTAAATGTTATCTTATATTTGCCATTTCCAAAATGGCAATCATATCCATCATTGTCCAAGCATGAAACACTAATCAAGTTTCTCTGTAAAGAGGGAACATAAAGTACATCTCTAAGTAAAAGTGTGAAGCCATCAGCAAGCTCTAGAAAAAGATCGCCAACGGCTTCGACATCTGCTCGGGCTCCATTTGCAACTTTAACGTGTCTTTATCTTCTTTGCGAAGTCCTCATCGAATGGAATCCCTATAAAGAATTAGCAACATGAACAGTTGCACCTGAGTCAATCCACAAAGTAGATTTCGAATACTATACATACAGGGATTTATTTATGAACGTAATAATGTTCTCACCTTTCTTTCCAATGATCATCTTTAAGTAATCGGGACAATCTTTCTTATAATGTCCCGTCTTCTTGCAATAGAGACACTGGTCTTTCTCTACTGTAAACTTGTTCTGCTGAGGCTGATGCAGCATGGGACCCTTTCCCTTTGACTTTGAGGAGTTAGCATTATTATTCTTTTTCTTGTTGTCTTTCACATAATTGATAGTGCCACCATTGGCAGCTTTCATTCTCTCCTCCTCTTGCACACACACAACCATGAGCCTCTCTAAGTCCCACTTCTCGGGCCGTATGTTGTAATTGACAACAAAAGTGTCAAATTCCTTTGGCAAGGAAGCAAAAATCAAATGGATAAGGAACTCTTCCTTGAGAGCCAGATCCATTGGTTTTAGCGTGGATGCCAAATTGCTCATCCTTAGTATGTGCTCTCTTATGCCACCATTTCCAGAGTACCTCTCTGTCATCAGCTGCTTTATCAGTTGGGTAGCATATATCTTTGAAGAGCCAGTGAATTGACTCTTTATTCTATCGAGGTACTCGGTGACGGTGTCACACTCTGGGATTGAGCCCACAGTTGCAGGCTCAAACGTGTTCTTTATCACAACAAACATTTCTTGTTGGCAGTGACCCACTTTCTATGCTCAAGGTCATAGGACATCTTTTGGGATACAAAATCCCTCTCTCTAGTTGCCCAAACGGCATCAGCCTCGTTTGTCTCCCTCACCGGTGCCACAGGCTCAGTGGGACACGATGAGGTGACTATCCAGTCCACCTCAGCCAAGATGAAGGCCAGGTC